CCACGAGTGTCTACCTCTTTTTATACAGTCTATGGTGTCCACCCGCCCTCGCCCATCAAGTCTTGTCCCACGCTGCACTCTGTCTGTTGCGTCCAGGCACCATCAAAACATTAGGCTCGTTCGAGATGCATCGGCGCTGCGCAGACCGATCGGCGTATGACATCAAAGTACCGCCAGAGCGATTCAAAAGCTTAAAGAGTCGTCTGCTCTCTAATCACACTCGCGATACTTTGATGTCATACCGTGAATGAGTAAAAAGATCTGAAATTAGGCTTGTTCGAGATGCAACGGCGCTGCGCAGACTGATCGGCGTATGACATCAAAGTACCGCCAGAGCGATTCAAAAGCTTAAAGAGTCGTCTGCTCTCTAATCACACTCGCGATACTTTGATGTCATACGCCGATCGGTCTGCGCAGCGCCGATGCATCTCGAACAAGCCTAGTGGTTCCGACGTCTATGTAAGTATATAAAAAGCCAGGGTTGCCAACTCTCACGCTCTCACTCTGCCCATGTAAATCTCACACCAAAGTGGCAACCTTGCTTGTGATATGAAACAATGTCTCAGCTTTCACATTTTGTAAGTTTTAATGCGAAATTCAAACAAGTTTTGGCGCACTTAATGTGGCGTAATTCTTTGTAGTGCCTCAGTTAAAGCCAGAGCCATTGAAAATCAGAGATGCGACATTGCTTCTTTGATCTCGCCGGCACGCGGTCACGTGGTTCAATAGCGCTCAATAGTTCCAAATAAACCAGCGCTGTCAATACATCTGAATGAGTTTAAGCAAGATAGATGGCAGCTTCACTGTACAGGTATTTGCAGCAACTTTTGGTAAACATTACATCATATTATGCATTGATTATTACGTCGATGACATTTACAGTATCATTTTATTCTGCAGTGGAGAGTGATGGAGAGGCAACATTAATGTTTTTCTTGTATTTAACCTTCAGGTATTTCCTTACTTAGAATGTGACCATACACCTCAACTATTTTTCAGTTACATAAATATTCTATATTTTAGTTCAATTATATTTATTTAATATTTTGAGGAGATCTTTTGGTAGTAAATACTATTTGTGCAATAATTATGGTCCATTAATGACCTCTTAAAATATTTTTTCTGATATTTATATTACTTATATTACAATTTGTGTAGTATTTAAGGTTAAAATAGAATAAACGGTTTTAAATTCCAATGCAAAAAGGCAAATTAATCAGAGTAATTTTGTGGTTGGAAAAAAAAAAAATTTTCATTTGTAATGCCATGGTTAGGTATGGCTTTTTAATAAATATATGTGTATCTACTAGTCTAGTTTCTCAAAAATGTATTGCAGGTCATACCTTACTTATTTTTAAGTTTTGCATTTGAATAAATATTTAGACATGATTAAACATTTAGTTTTTTTAAATGCGAAATTAATAACTTATACTTTTTTTTTTTTATTGATACTCGTATAAGTGTACACGCAAGTGAATATTAATGAATGCAAGCAAATGCTGAATTTAACACAAGAAAATTTTACAATGGTGCTACAAAAGGCATTCAACAAAAGATTTGTATCCCCTTATATGCACAATACAGATATGAATTGATATTGAATCATTAAATCAAGACCGAAGTGCCACCTAGTGCCTGTTACCAAAAAAGCATCAGCGTTTCGCCTCGGCTTCTATACTCTTTGCTCTCATTACTGCTAGAGGTACAACATTAAATGGCAGGAAATTTAAATTAAAACAATTAAAAGTACAATATATAGATATTACAATAAAAATAAAATATTGACAGCGAATAAGCAGAAAACTGTGACATTAAGTTTAATTACACGTGTGGGTTGTGAATGTGAACGACATTTAATTATTTGATATTTTCATTATACTTATACAATTATACAATTGCACAAGATGTTTTATAGTTCCTAAAGTGTATTTGAATAAACAGTTACAGGAAGTAGCAGAAGCTTACTTCACATTATAAACACATTATTATCAAGAAATTTCAGTCTGTATTTTTAGAATCAGAATCATTTTCTTGCCACATGATGAATGAATTTAGTGAGTCAAAAACAGTGTTGATTTCCAGAGTACTATTTTCCTTTACCACAACGACCTGTAAATAAAACATTATTGCTTATTACATCACATGCTTTATGTAGTCATTTTCATTCATGCAGCTTGTTTCATAAGTTATCTTAAAGAACATAACTCACTTATACCAGTGTCCACCTTCTGCTTCACTTCCCGTTTAGGGGTTTGAGACCAATGAAGTGTCACGTTTGTGAATCCTCTAGCAGCTAGAGCAGATCCCACCTGAAAATAACATTAATAGGCTACTCAACAGAGAATATGATAATACACTCATATCTTCATATCTCAAAGAATGATTAAACCCTGATTAAAACAACGACATTATATTTACTGATGGAGCAACTCTGGAGCAATGTCAAGTTATCAGTAAAAGTATTTGCTTTTGCATATATGAATGGACAAAATTAAATCAATGTAGAAATAAATCTACAACGATGTTTCTTTCTCTCACCCGTTTCAGAATATTTTCTCCTATTGAAGGGTCAGTCAAATCAGCTCTGGAGTTAAACTGCATTTTTACAAATGATCTTTTTAAAACAGGACCTAACAAAGATATAAACATACATTTAAATATGCAAATTAATGTAGGTTTTTGTTCATTGAAACATATCAGTGTCTTTGTCTGTTGACCTTCTCCATAGACCTCCACCTCACACAGAGTGAGCATCTTCATGTCTCCAGGAATGATCAGATTCACGTAACGTCCATCCATCCCACCGCACGAGTAGCTGTAGGACTCAACTGCTGGAATAGCAGGAATAACAGCACATCTACAGACAGAGAGAGAAACACATGAAGGATATAAAAGCACTATATCTGCATCAATCCTTCCCATTTGTGCTCAATGTCCCACATTCTTTCAATCTCAAGTTTCTCACATGGGATTGTCGTTGCCGTTGCTTTCCAAAGAGTTTCCGATGCGAATCTCCACTCCGTTTATTTGTTCTGCACAGCAGTCTTTTCTGTTAGTGACCACCACTTTGCTAACTCTGTAAATGTGACGCAGATCCAGCCTCCACCACGGGTTAGTCTGATTGAGAGTTGAGGAGCATCCCGTATACAACTGCAGGAGACCTCGATTGCCATCAATGGCCTTTTCAGAGAACCAGTTCCCAAATGTTGATGACTGTGTAGCGGCTCCATCCACTGCCCGATTTCCTAGAAAATATATGGGGGGAAAATGGCACAACACATCTTGATGCACCAAGTTTGTAGCAGAGGGGAAGATAAGTGGTCAACAATCACTTGAGGTGAAATGAGTCATCTCTGCATCAACTACCATCACCTAAAAACACCCTTCATATAGACACCTCACAACAAGCAAGATATTCTGGAGTAAAATAGTGTCATGCAAGATCATAAAAGCCAGAAAAATTAATAAAAATGCCCCTGAAATTCAAGATATGAATTGCCTCTGCATGAGTTCTTGTTTTCAGTGTTTATAAGATTATACAGTTAAGCAATATCACACAAGCAAGAGAGCAATTTCCTGAATTATCAGCACAATTGCAAATGTGATATTCACTTTATACAACAGTTCAATAAACAATATATTAACTGACAATATTTAGACACAGCATCAATTTTGACTGTTTTTGCACTATTTTTCCACCCAAAATAGTAACAAAGCAGAACGACTGCATCACAAAGCAAAATAAAGTGGTGTTTCGTTCTTGAACGATTCCGTGTTTTTAAACTAATTGGTCAAGCCAGTGATTCAACGACACCTTCAGAAAGACAGTGCTCACTTGTGTTCATCGCATTGTTTCATTTTTTCTAACATTTTATATTTAGATTCAAAATGTAATGTGTAAAATGTTAATATCATAACATTATGCAGATGCATTATAAATATATCTAAATTAAGATTTAGTGATACTGATTTCATTTGATTGGTAACAGTGTAACCCCGGGTTCTCACCGCCACACCTCGTCCTCGCTCTGAGTGGGTCTCCGGCATGGGAGGCGGACGCACTAACAAGGAGGCTAAAGACTGCAGCCACTAGCGTGTCTCTTGAGATTAGGGGAGTGAGGTTTACCTGCACAGCACCTACCGCTGGCCTCCGTTACACTAGCCCTTGTGTTAATTAGTGTAACTAATTAAAAGATGTTTTAGATGTCTTCACAGCAGAGCATTTATCTACAATCTAAGGCTACGTCCACACGAAGCCAGAGCTTTCCCTATTCGATCGTCTCAAGAAATATCTGCGTCCACACGAAACCACAAAACCGACACAAAACGATGTAGTATACATGCCAGACCAGTATGTGGCGCTGTAATTCTGCCACAGAGATACACTAAAAACGGAGAAGAAGACTTGGACTATGCGCATAAACCTTGCGGCGGTATACAAACGAACATGGAACAATACATTTATTAATCTGTGTTAATGTTAGTTAATAAAAAGACAATCGTTCAGTGTTTGTTCATGTTTTTGTTGCTGTTACGTGACGTAGCGGTGTCTGACTAGGGGCAAGACGTGGGCTGAAGACGTCATTGTTTCAGAAAATATACAGATTCGCTGTCCACATGAAAACGCAAGGGTGTCGTTTTCAGATTTATCCACTCTGGGACCCGGTTTCAAAAAATATCAGTTTTACTCTCCCAAAACGCCGGATCCATGTGGACGAAACGCCTATACGATACAATATTTATGCGTATACAGCTAAACGCGTTGCCGTGTGGACGGGGACTAAGAGGCCATAAAAAAGTGTCAGTTTTAAGTATGGCATGATATTACTTATACTACTGCTCCGGGTGTGTGTTCACGGTGTGTGTGTGTTCACTGCTGTGTGTGTGCACTTAGGATGGGATAAATGCAGAGCACTAATTCCTAGTATGGGTAACCATACTTGGCCACATGTCACTTCACTTCACTTCACCTTTGAATGCTTGAATCTGATTGGCTGATGAACGTTCTGAGGTGTGCAATTATTTTCAGGGAAACGCACGGCTAACGTAGTTCCAGGCAGCTCTCTTGACCGCATTACAGTTCCATATCACTTCGCATAGTTAACTGTAATAACGGAGATTAGCATACAGTACCTATACAGCACACAGAAATTACTGCAATCACACGTGCTCGGTCACGCACACTACGGTCAGGTGTTGTCAGCGCTGCCCTGACGATTTTATCAGTTAGCCTATATAGTGTAGCAACTTAAAGGCTACACATGACATTTCTCACTAGCGAGGTAATAACAGCGCTGCTGCAGAACACTGTTGAGGGACGCACAGAGCTAGCCTAATTCACACAAGCTCTCTCTCTCTCTCTTTCTCTGTGTCTCTGTCTCTCTCGCTCTCTTTCTAATAACTTCATTAATAACTGCATTAGAATGCTATCAACGGCTCAAGCCTCCATTACCAGCTTTAAAATGACGTTTTGGAACTAGCAAAAGAGGCGTTGGATGAGATGCGGAAGAAATAATCCTACTCACAATAGCGATTTAAATACAAAAACCGGACGAATCCCTTTAAATATATCATCTGATCGATGTCTTGAGGTGTGGTAACCGTAGTATAAGCGGAATAATTGATGACGGGCCGTTGAATTATTAGAAAAATAATGCACACTCCGCTTTGCGTCCGCATCACCACCTCGGGTGTGCATTATTTTTCTAATAATTCAACGGCCCGTCGTCAATTATTCTTTACATATTGAACAGTGCTCTATGACAATGAATTACCTCCCAAATACCCGTAGACTTCAACCTCACAGAGAGTAACAATTTTCCCATCTCCAGGAATATGAACAGTCACGTAACGTCCCTCAATCCCACCGCACGAGAAGCTGGCCGTGGATCCAGAAGGAATAGTAGAAACTACAGCACATCTACAGACAGAAAGATCATCCGTTATTGCTTCTGTCCATTCTCAGCTGTAGCCAATGATAAATGTCAAAAATATCCTCACATAGGGTTGCTGTAAACATCAGGGACGTTCCCGACACGAATCACCGCCCCGTTTATTCTGGATGCTATTTCAGAATAGGAGCTCTGTCTGTTAGTGATGGCCACTCTGTTCACTCTGTATACTTTCATCAGATCCACTCTCCACCACGGGTTGGTCTGTGTGTTGGTGTGGGAACAGCTGTCGCGTACACCGTCCACTGCATTTTCACTATACCAGGTCCCGTACATGGACGACTGCGTGGCTGTGTGCCGAAATGCTGCGTTCTCTGGAAGAAGACCAGTAATTGAACATTTAGGTAAAATATGAACATAAACTAAACACTAAAACTTAATAAAAACTGTATAGGCATTAAAGAAACTAATAAAAATGACAAAAGACAACAGAAAGTACTATAACTATAAAATGATTATGTTTCTTCATAATATTCTGGCATAATCCTAATATAATCTAACGTAAGGACTAGATAATAGATTAAATGCAATTTAGCAGAGCATTTATTGTCCGGACTGGGATTTTTTTTTTTTTTTTTCAACATACATTGACGTCACGCTGTTTTATATGGTTTGAGAAGAAAAAGTCCCAGAAAAATAAATGTAAAATTAAAATGCTCCTCAAAATTAATTCCAAATAAGAATTACGCGCGCCTGGCATATTACTATTACAACCCGGCAGTTCAAAGATGCAGAACAGAACAAAGATGTTATCAAAATAAAAGATTCTTACCTTCTTGTCCATTCACCATTTCTTGAATCAGTAAAAACCCTGTATAAAACATGAGTTTCAGAGAAGCATGTTTTGCTGCCATTTGAATTACCATTCAAATTTGTTCTCCTTTACCAGTTAATTTGTTTTGTTATAGATGATGTTTTATTTATTAGTGACTATATGATAATGACATCATAAAACAAGCAGAATGTTGTAGTCTAAAGTGGGATGAGAAGACATTCCTTTGAATCACGACTCTCTTGACAAACCATTTACATACACAAATGAGCACGGATTTCAAGATCGATTTGTTTTGTAAAGCAGAGCTAGAAACTCAAACTAACAAAAACTATTCCTATATCCAGTGATGAAGCAAATTCACAATCTATACACTGAGAAAAGTATATAATGCAAACCATGGAAAAAGTAACATGTTTGGAAAGAAAATGAGCTGTAGTTCCGTAAGTGCAAATTAAAATAGAAACACCATTTGAAAACATTCCTGACCAAAGGAACATATTACGGTGTAAATATTAGTGTGAATCTAGTAAAATAGCAGATACATGAATGTTGTACGTTACCCAGTAAGATCCACGGGCACTTGTAGAGCTTCTTCATGGCTGATTAAAGGCATCTGTCTTTCTCTTAGGATGGAGAGTGTGTGTTATATATGTTTTATGGAGGATGACCTGTTTAAATGTAAATCCCATGACCAACCTCATCTCTCCTCCCATTCGTTTCCATCAATCATGTCTTTCTCTCTTCTTCCACTGGTCCACCTCACAAAAAACAGACAATAGAGCACAGAAAAGAACAGCACAGAAAAAGCACAGAAATTTAGAAATATCAGAAATGGTCCAAAGTACTGACATACTACATACAACAAACAGACCAAAACTAAATTACAGCCCTCAGTGGATATATCGCAATTAGGAGCAGGGAAAATAAAATAAAATAAAATAAACACTCCCTAAAGTTTAATTTGCTGTTAGCACAGGTTTAAGTGTGGCGTAGAATCAAGTTCAGTTCATGCATGTGATTTTCATTTATTCATTTAGATAGTGCTTTTATCCAAAGTGACTTACAAATTAGGAATCCATCAAAACTGATCCGTTCTAGGGGTACTATAACACGGAATGTGCCACAATATCATATTTTAATTGACTGACAGCCCTAATTCATTCATATGTACAAATGTGCCAAAAATGAATTAGTTATTAAAAACAAAATAATAATTTGCGTAAGTATTCACCCCCCAACACTCACTACACGTTTAGTAGATCTGGCCACTGCAGGTTTGCTCCAACTTCTCAGGCTTGCATGGAGATCTTGTAGATCTACAATCTCTTTTCATTTGTCTAAACAAATATGCATTAAGAGCTGAGAGGCTGATGGGCCGAAGCACCTGACTGCCATGGGATGCCTCAAAGTGGCCACAAAAAGAAACGTTTCCTTCCCAAAAAGCTGGTGGCAAGAGTTTTATGCTGATATTCTCTTCTCTTCATAGTTTTGCCAACTAGCTCCAGTTCCCGAATTCTTGCATCTGCTTTATGAAACAAGGTTTATGTTGGTAACAATGGTAATTAATCTCTGAACTTTGTAGTTGTATGCTTCAACCATTGGAAGGCCAAAAGTCAAACAGTATAGCTTTAAGCAAAATCATATTCAAACCGTTTCTGTTGAGAAGATCTTCTTTGATTGAAGTTTGTGATTGGATAATGTTTATCGTGACTTGTTTTGATTCTGTTTCTAAGTCCATACATCCTCTGCTTCACTGCCTGCTTTGACTAGTCCCTCATCTGCTCATCTGTAATTCAGAATTGACAGACAGGGGATAATGAAAATCGGATTTTGTAAGATAATTCCAGTCACATCAGAGCAGGGATGCTTAGATGATGAAGCTCTGGGATACTGAATAAAAGGAGAAGAGTAATGGTACTCGATTTTCAATCAGTTTTAAATGATATGTCTAAGAATACTAGCATTTTGTTATATGTCATCATATTTTTATAATTTATCAAAACAGTTAGACCGTAAAAACAAAACATATATTGTCCACAACCATGTAAATTTATACATACAAATGCATTCATTATATTCAGTATATCACAACTACAACATTTCATAATGTTAAATATTTAAACAAGCATGATAAAAAAGTGTGGTATTGCATTGCATTAATGCATCCATTGCAAAAGGCAGACAGGCGTGTGGTTTAAAAGGATATGGAAATCTCTGCTGAAAGTCTTTGAATGTTATTTTCAATGTAAAACGTGTGTCAACACTGATGGGTCACTATCAAGCACCTAAACAGAGCAGCACAGACTCACAAAACAAAAGTGGACAGATCCCACAAAACCCTTCTCAACCCTGAAAAAAAGCAGTGTTTGTGCATCTGTGATTATTTGTTGGCATGTCGTCATGAGGATGGATTTGATCTTTGTGCTGTTATTAGGTGAGTTGCACTGGTTTTGCACAAGATCAATTTAACCACTAAAAAGGGGTGAAGACATTAGGTTTCCATTATCGTATTGTTTTAAAATATTATTAATGGTTATGCATTGGAAAAAAAATTGAATTACAGCTGTATTTTATTGTCATAAGAAGGACAATAGAACACATTACATTTATTGACTATGTTTACATGGCTTAAAGGTAACATGACCAGGGTTATGCATTATCTCATGTTTTCATGTCACAAAAAAAGTGTTTTTTCATACTATTGGAAAGAAAACATCCCAAATACAATATTAAGCATTTATTGTATTGCACTTTACCTGTTTGCGTCTGTAGATTTAAAAAACATTTTTTTTATCTTTAAAAGTGTTTCTCTCAAAATGAGTTTGTTTTTCCACTTCAGCAGCACTTACACCAAACGTAGCAGTTTTATTCCTCTCTATATTCTGAAGGTTTTACACAGGGATATTTGTTGATATATCATTCGCCTTATTTTATTATTGCACTTTATGGTAACGCTTTAGATTACAACCCGCAAAGAACTACGTAAGTTTACTGAATTTACGAGATTACTGAACAACAAAACTGGACATCTAGTGAAATGAGTTTATGAGTTTCTGCTTTGATTTATAATTCACGAGTCTACTTACCTTATGATTATGATGAGTCTACTTACCTTATCGATTTCAGCAACTTCACACCAGCAACTTCTCAACACCACTATCACCAAATAACTTTGCATGATATACCATCAAG